GGAACAGCACTCTCTGAAGCAAGGAACTAGGAAGGTATCTCATGACTCCTAGAACATACTCACTTTCTCTGGTCTCATATGCCAGCCCTACAACTTCCTGTCTTGCATGCAAACTGCATAATGAGCTGGTTAACAGTACAACCTCTAGCTGGCATGGTGACTCACACGTATAATTCTAGCACTCTGGGAGGCTGAGGCAGAAAGATCACAAGTTTGAGCACAGCCTGGGCAATTTAATGACTCAGCAAGACCCTGCAAAACAAAACAAGTATATCCTTTGCCTATACTGGGATTGATCTTGAGCAGATTATTTGATGTTCCCATCTTATCTTCTGCATCTGGAAAATGGAATACATAATAAAACTGTTTCACAGTATTTCTGGACAAACTTTAGGAGGTGCATACAGTATTTAGGAGAGTATCTGGAACATAATGCATATTTGGTAAATGTTGGATATATTACATATTCATTGCTATCCACACCCTTACTTATACCTCAACATGCTCTTGAACCACCAAAGAGTCAAGTTCTTTCCTTAAAGCCAACTTCATGGGTATGTGATTGATACTGACACAGTGCATGAGCTTCAGAAGGACCTGGTGCTTTGACACTGGCACATAGTTGAAGGGCGTGTTATCGCCATTGAAATCTCTAATTATTTTTTGTTGAACTTGTGTTTTGTAGGGGTGGTCTGAGGGGCCAATGGAATACGTGCATGAACGTACATATCCATGTCCGCCACTCTTTAGTGCTCCACTTACACACAAGATTCCTGATGAACATGGAATTCCAGAGGACCCACAGTACGTGGGACTTCAGCAAACTGAACACAAATACAAGGTAAGCATGTTTCAACTACAACTGAGGAAGTGGGGGCAGTGACAACCCCAAGAGACCAAACTTTCCATTCCAATCAGAATTTGCTTGGAACACAGAAAGAGGGCAACAACTGAGCAACCTTTCCATGTGCTTTCTTCCTCGTGCAACTTCCGCATATTAGCTAGCCACCTACACTGAAAAGGCTGACACAGAAGGAGAGGGAAAGTCAGGGCAGCCCATAGTTCCTTTTCTTTTCAGTTCTTCCCAACACAAGTGTTCCAAAGGTAGTGGTAGAAGGATGGACACTGACCAAGAAGCCTGGGCAACATTGTGACTTTGGGAGACCCTGTCTCAAAGTTTTGAAAGGGTATTGAGGATCTAGCTCAGTTTAAGGCCTTGGGGTTTAATTCCAAGTACCCCAAAAAGTGATATAAAAACAGTTTTGTTCTGTATTTCCACTGTCCTAGTAAGGACAAAACACATGGGCATACAGGAGTTACAAGGATGTCTGTTTATTAATATGTTTTGGTTCTTTAATTTTTAAAATAAAAAAACGAGAACTACAAAATATGAATAGTGTATTTTGTATATGAGTTAAGTGCTACTGTGTATGCATTTAAAATGGACTTTGCACAACATGAAGATGGATGGTAAAATCTATACTAATAATTTAAAACATTTTTTTCTTTACTAGAATGACATTAAGGGCTGGGGATATAGCTCAGCGGCATAAGCGCTTGCCTGGCGAGCCTGAGGTCATGAGTTCAATCCCCTGTACCAAAAAACAAAAAAACAAAACAAAAAAAAAAAAACAAAAAACAAGAATGACATTAAATAGCAAATAAAAACTACTGTGACAATAACAAAGTGGAAGAAAGGTAATAGTTTTTCCCTTTGTACTTTTTTTCCTGCTTTGTGGAATGAAGGGCCCACATTTTCATTCTGTGGCCCTGCAAATACTGTAGCCAGCTCTAGCCTGTCCTCTCTCTGATTCTTCCAAAAGTTTCATCCAGCTACCTTCTGCAGGAAATCCTACCTGATCCTCCATTCTTCTTAGGCTATGTTGGCTTCCCTACCATATGTCATCGAGCCTTACCACATTTTGGGGTTCTGCATTTACAGATTGAACCAACCAGAAGTTAAAATACTTGAAGAAAAAAATTGCTTCTGTACTGAGAACGAGACTTTCTTTTCTTATCATTAATTCCTTAAAAATACAGTATAATAACTATTTACATTATATTAGGTATTATAAGTAATCTAGAGATGAGTTAAGCTACGTGGGAAGATATATATAGGTTACATGTAAATGCCATACTGTTTTGTATATGGAACTTGCCCATCTGAAGATTTGGGTGACTGCAGAGGGGTCCTGGAACCAATGCTCTGTATATATCAAGAGATGACTGTTTTACATCTTTCTTATTGGAGTATCATCCACCAATTAGTTAATTTTGAGTCTATCTGCCCCTTAACAATCTACCTTTCTTGAAGGACTGAGGTAGATTTTAGATTTTATTCAGCTACCATGGACAAGAATCACTGGGACCATCATAGCAAAAATAAGTTCCAGGAACTAACAGCAAACCAAGAAAATTGCTTCTAATTTGGCTACACAACCAGCTTGAGAAGTAGTTAATTAATGAATGAAAGAATACCAATGGAGATTTCTTCAGTCTCTCACTTTCTTGTAAAATCTGGTTACTCTTTGAGGGATAGGTTCAAGTGCCACCTCTCAGTGAGTTATCAGAGCTTTTCTCTCTCCTCACTCCCACATCTCCACTCTCCACATCTCTTAGCTCCATGGCCTCAAGTCCCTTACTATTAATTATTTTTGACATCCAGTAAATTCTTACTTGAACTGTACTACTCTGATTAGACGCTGGTAATACTGAAGGCATACTAGAGCAGGATAAAAGGTTAAGCAAATAAGGCACCTACCTCAGGAACAAAATTTAAGGGACTGTCAAAACAACAGTAACCAAGAGAAAAAAAATTAGTGCAATATTTTAAAAATCAAAACTAATGCAGTAATCATCCATGATGAACAATATCTCAAAATCTTAAAAAAAAAAGATAGGATTAGACCCTTGTACCAACACCAATGGCTTCACTAAACTGAGTCCTACTACATCCTATGTTTCATGTATTTTCTTACTCCAGTAACTTCTGGGTGGATGAATGCAAATGGATTGCATCAGCTTGAAATTTACGCGTCATGGTCATGATGGTATGGCAGAAAAGGACTCCTGTCCTGAAAATAACTAGGCATACCTTTTCAAGTGAGCCAGCCTGGGATACCGAACTGTGTGCTCTCAAATTGGAATAATATTCCCGCCCATCATTCCCCGTGTAAAACCAAACAAACAGATGTCATGTTCTGTCACTAACCCTTTCCTTTCATGCAGCCTCAAAAGCTATCCAAAAATTGTCCTCCAAGGGCCTGTTCATGCAGAATCCTACTAGTTCATGTTGTTTCAATAATAATGAATTAACATCATTTCATAACAGTTACAACCATAGTCTCATGAATTGTTTGAATAATGCCTAGTGATTGATTTAATGCTTTGACTTTTTATTTCAGAAGTTTCCAGGAAAAATGAGACCAGAAAGACGAAGCCATTTGAACAAAGAGAAGCAGCAGTTTTTCTTCTACTTCATTTTCTGTATGTGTCTTTCTTAAGAAATAACTTAGAAAAAAAATCAACGCCAAGGTATGCTCAGAAAGAGAGAAAGTCAAAATTTCCATCAAGCTTTGAGGCCTATCATACACCTCATGAAGGAAGCTTCCCATCACCACATCTTCCCTTATTACAAAGTTGTTCACACGCTTGCTGGGTCCCTTTGAAGACCAAAGGCCCCCCTGTACACTATCCCTACCTACCTATAGAGGGCCAGGCTTTTCCCTCCGGGCAGCGGTTCACCTATAGTTAACCACCAGGGGGCCGCATGTGTGGACCCGTGGTGTAGACTCCACAGCTTGCCTGCAAACCAACCAAAACATCCCAGGGCAGCTTTGGAGCAAAGCCCGGGAACTTCCCCACAAAGAACAACCATCTACTATAGACGCTGGAAAGTTCTATGGTGGAACCTTATTCACAGGGAAGACTAAAGCACAAATGTTTCTCTAGAGACAGAAGGAAAATGGAGTCTGCAGAGTCTGAAGGAACAGGCCCCTTTCTCTCCTCCGAGAGCTTTGGGGTCTACAACTTTCATTCTGAAGCATGCTGAAACCAGGCTCATCTGGATGCAAGGAACTGCTTCCAGATTCTTCACATTTGTGCCTTCTAGTGCTATCTCCAAGGGTGGAGGCTTCTCCCCTGAGTGTGGACCACTCAGAAGAAGGTGAAATAAAACACGTCACCAGTTAGAAATCTAGAGATCTCTGTAATAAATAATCTATACACTGTTCAGGCAATAGAAGATACAAACTATTCTAGCTCTATTCATTATATGCTGCATGAATGTGCATACTGAATTATGAAGTAGAAATCATTTTAACACTGTTTCTAAGAAAATAATTACACTCCTGTCATCGAAGTAGTTTTTATGCAACTATAACTGTATACTGGTTGCGTTTAACTGTCTGGGTGTAGGATCTTTTCCCAAGTACTACAGCTCAGAATGCAAGCTGCCTGCTTTATTTTGTCCCAGGCTGAACCCTTGGCTTTCAGGACTCAAGGTAGGTGACACTTTAGAGCTGTATATTTGCCAGGACAGAACTTTATAAAGCTCTAAATTATTTTACTTGTGTTGTAGATTTCCAGGGCAAAGAGAACATAATGGGGCGTCCCCTTACAAGAGAGTTGTGGAGTGTCTTAACCCAAATAACACCTCCCCCAGGATGGGCAGAATGTGGTGGGAAAGGGTGAGTGCATGCGCCCTTATGCGCTAGCGAGGCATTTTCCAAACTTCCATTCCCGGGCCAGGGGTGGTGGTAAGACTACCGCCAGACAGCCGCGCCCGCCGGAGGCCTCCCGAGGAGTCAGAGCGCCTGTCGTCCCGACACGCTCCACAAGTGGTTTGGGGGCGGAAGGAGGAGCGCGGCCGCACGGGCCGCACCAGTCTGGCCGGGCTGAGAAGGCCGAGCTCCCGAAAGTCCCCCTCCCCGCCCCCTTGCCGCTCATTCTTCCTCTTCTCCAACTACAGCAATGACGACCAAACTCAAACCTCCACGCACCTGCAGTCGGGCGGGTGGACGCGCGGCCACCAAACTCAGGGCAACGTCAGCACCCCTGGAAGGGGCTGGAGGCGCGCGGGGACGGGCGGAGGGAGCGCGCGCACCTGGGAGGCAGGTGCGAGGCGGCGGCCGGGGGCGGCGC